CGTTTGCAGTACTCCCCCCCCCCCCCCGCTGTCACTGCTGACTTTCCTGACACCGGAGAAAATCTGTGTTTTGTGGAAGCTATTGTTATCACTGCTCATTTCCAGATGTCTGATCACTCCAGAGCGAAGTGAACCCTCTCACCAGGGGTTCACTTATGGTGCCAGTTTTAAACAAGCAGTGATATGCACATAGGCACTTATGTAATATAGGCGCACAGGCGCACAAATGCATTCACCCATCACACCGGTATGTGGACATGGAAGTCAATGAATGAACACTTATGAGCATGCGCAAGTGAGGATTTGTTTTTTTAAAACCCTCACACGCCCATGAGTGTCTGGAGGGCAGACCGTAGAGTGAGCACTGGGTGTCTGATCGTGTCACTACGGAATAAATAAACCTGGGTAATATTTGAGGCATGTCAACAGTGCTATAATCATGCCGTCTGACTACCACCTTGGACTTGTCTTCAAGGAAACAGACTGTAAAATACACCTCCTAATATTTCCCACACTCTTATCCATAAAACTAATTATTTAGATTGTGACCATTTGCAGGGCGAAGTTTATCTGGAAAGAATGCTGTGAGCTGTGCTGATCCCATGGGATATAGGGAGACCAACATAAACATGATTAAGCATAGAAGCTCTGAAATATGTAGTATGTTGATGGAGCATAACAGTGTCTTATGGTATTGTAAATGATAACCGTTTTATTGTGATATGAGTTCTTTTGGACTGGGCCCTACTTTATCACCTTAGTGGGTATAGAGGGGGAAAATAGTTCAAGCAGTAGGTCCAAAGAGAGAGGCATTCTGACCTTTGTATGCAGAGCTAATGTGTATAAAAGGCAAGTGCAACAACCATTCACAGTAGCAGTAATCAACAATTATACAGTAGTTCTAGTTGTGCTGCGTTAATGACACCTGTCAAGAGAGAGAATCCATGGTCCCAAATGGGAAAGGGAGGGTGAGAGAATAAAACGTTATGATATATTTCACAATGCTGCAATTCTGAATGCCCTTAAGGATTATTTTAATTTATTTATGGATTTGTTGCTGAACACAGCCCAAGTAGTTGAAAGTATTACTACAGAATCTAACTTCATGAACAGTGAGTCTGCGAGGTGTAATGGTTAGTGTTAACAGGGACTAGGAGCTGGAAGACCCAGGTTCAAATCTCTACTCTGCCTTGGCAGCTTGCTGGGTAGTCCTGGGCCAGTCATATACTCTTAACTTAGCTCACAATGTAGTGGCTGTGAAAACACAGAAAGTTGTAAGTTACTTTGGGTCATCACTGGGGAGAAAGTCAAGTATGCATGAAGTAAAAAAACCCAAACCAGTGGGCATTTAAAATTGATTCATGCGCTGGACTTCCATCTACGTCAAGATATATTATTTTAAAAAACAATTTGATTTTTAACTTCATATTAAATAATGTAGGTTTTGAGTGAGGATATTTTATAGCCAAGATGACATGCTGGTACGGTACATTGCCCAGTGCTCCTTGGAGGAAGGATAAGATAAAAAT